TTTTTTGAGACGGAGGTTCGCTCTTGTTGCCCAGGCTGGAGTCCAGTGGTGCAATCTCCGCTCACCGCAGCCTCTGCCTCCTGGGTTCAAGCAATTCTTCTGCCTCAGCCTCCCGAGTTGTTGGGATTACAGGCATGCACCACCACACCCAACTAATTTTGGTATTTTTAGTAGAGATGGGGTTTCTCCATGTTGGTCAGGCTGGTCTCAAACTCCCAATCTTAGTTGATCTGCCCACCTCAGCCTCCCAAAGTGCTGGGATTATAGGCATGAGCCACTGCACCTGGCTTTCAGTCTTCCCTTTCTTTATTCATCTTTTCTTTCTATATTCCCCCAAAATAAAATCAACCATATATATATTATTTATAGTATAAATTATAAATCATAGTATATTATGTGTATTATATATAATACATAATTGTTTATGTATTAATATATGATGCATATATTTCTAATGTATGTGATATGTATTATAAATTATAAATAGATAATATATGTTTATATATTATATGCAAATATATATTATAGTATGTAAATTATATATTATACATTATAATGATATATTATGCATATACATATTATACATATATAATATACATGTGCATATTAATACATTATGTTATAAATTATATATTATGCACATTATAAATAATGTGTATATATTTATAATGATGACTGCTGCTTTTGTTAGACACTGTTCAGAGTTTCTCAGTAACTAGTATGGTGTATATCTCTCAGGTTCCTGCCATGCTAAATCTCTCATGTCTAGCCTTCAAGTGTGTCATTCATTCTTCTGATCCCCTCTTTGCTTCTCCTTGCATTTTACTCCAGAAATACATGTATTTGACTGGATACCTTTGACTAACAGAAAATAAATAATGAAAATGACATAAAGGGGAAGCTCACAAATAGAAACAATCTTTTATTCCACAATCCCTGCTCTTCCCCACCCCTCACTCAGACAAAATTCAACATTACTGTATAGGAACCATCAACCCAGTCTCTGGCAGGGGAAGGATGGGCTCAGATGAACCCAATTTTAGTTATTACTGCTGGCTTACTGAGAAACATCTAATGTTCATCAGTCATACTTCACTATAAAGCCATTACTCAGAAAGGACCCTTATTATTCAATATGGAAAATGTACAGAGAGGAAGGAAGAGGGATGGCTGAGTTACTGGAGGAGTCAAGATGGGGCTTTATGTTTACTAATGAGATTCTGAAGATTCTTAAGACCCTAGTAAGAAGGTCAGCAATCTATGAAGCCTAACTGGATAGATATTGTAGTCTTCACACTTCATACTTCAAAAGAGATAAACCTTCAAGGCTAAACAGTTTTAGGAATAGTGCCTTTTGTTTTATTTTTCAGGTATTCAAACTCGTGTCCTCGATGTCACAAAGAAGAAACAAATTGATCAGTTTGCCAATGAAATTGAGAGACTTGATGTTCTCTTTAATGTTGCTGGGTAATTCGTAACTTTTTAATTTCACTTTTCTTACAGAAACTTTTCTATGACTTTCACCCAAATAATTTTGAAAATATGGCAAAATCATTTGTTGTGAACCATGACATATTTCTTGGGAAATATGGGTAGATTTTACACAGCATTTTCATGATACATAAGATTCAGCAGGTAAGACAGCCTTAGAGTTTGACATGATTTGGGGCAAATGAAGTCTACTTAAAACAGCTGGTACTGATACAAAGCTGTATTTTGTGTTATAATGTATGGAAGTTAAAGCAATAATTTCTGATGATCTATTTTATAAATAGTCCATCCTCATATAAGAATATACTCAGAAACATGAAACCAATAGTTAGCAAAGTTAGTTTTTGAGCATCTATTAAATTTTCAGCCATGTAGGGGATGTAGAAATATACTATGTGGTTCCTGCTGTCATGAAACTGACATTCTGATTGAACTGGCAGAACTGTGGTACATGGAAGTCACAGCCAATAATATTTTATAATTAATTACATAATTTGGGTCCAGAGGACCAAATCAATAAAGGTCTCAGTGTTTAGGAAGCTTCCCTCAGAAAGTATAACTTGAAAAAGAGTGAAGGCTACTTTAAGGGTTTTTTTTGTTTTGCCTTAATGTCGCTCATACAACAAGCGAACATCTCTCAGTATGTTAACGTTATGACACTAGCAATATCACTTTGCTGCTGAGATGTTGAGACACTTGTTTTCCTTGAGATTTTGATTTCCCTTGACAGTTCTAAATCTGTGCCACCTGAGGGCACTGTTGCTCTTGAAATAGGAATCATAGGAATCAAATAGACAAATAGGGCAGATGTTTCCTCTCTTTTTTTTTTTTTTTTTTTTTTGAGACAGGATTTGCCTCTGTCCCCCAGGCTGGAGTGCAGTAGAATGATCATGGCTCACTGCACCCTGGAACTCCTGGGCTCAAGTAATCTTCCTGCCTCAGCCTTCAAGGTAACTGAGACTGCAGGTGTGTGCTACCATGCCCAGCCCTGTTCTCCTTTATTTGTTGTTTGTTTTTAATGGCATTGATGTTTTCAACACAATTAGTATAAAGTTTCTTATGATCGGTGACCATATTCTTGTTTGGAAAACAAGAAGGATCTTGTTTTCAGATGACACTTCTAGCTTAAGTTGTTGGGATTCTTACCAATATGACATACTAAGCAATAATATTTGAATTGTTTAAAATCTTGATAAGGAAAGAGACAGTGGTCTAAGTCATGAAGTGATAACAGAAATAATCAGCAAATGGAACAGAAAAATTTTAATGGCAACAATTCCCCCATTGTTTAATCACGCGTCTAGTTTTGTCCATCATGGAACTGTCCTGGATTGTGAGGAGAAAGACTGGGACTTCTCGATGAATCTCAATGTGCGCAGCATGTACCTGATGATCAAGGCATTCCTTCCTAAAGTAAGACCACCACCACCACCACCAGGCTAAGCACCACATTAGGTCTCCATACTGGGCACACAGAAAGGATCCTCACATGTGCTGAAGAATGATAATAACTAACATAATGATTAACATGCATGGAACATTTATATCAAGGCATTTCACATAAATTAATCTATTTAACCTTCCAGTTCATCTACTCAAGGAATATTTATCAAGCACTTTCCACATGCCAGGCTCCACTCTAGGCACAGAAGACACATGAGTGAACTAAACAAAGTGCCTTCTATAAGGCAGGTGCCATTATTGGGGGTGTGATGGGACAATTAGTAATCAAACAGACACAGAATATGTGGCATGGTTGTTAAGTATAATGAAGAGAAAGGAGGTAGGATATCAATGAGGCCCCTCTGGACTCCACTGCAAAGATGAAATTGTCATAGCAGTCCAAAAGAAGTGAGAGAGCTGATCATTCAGGTGTCATGGGAGAGGATTCCAGGCAGAGGTACCAGCAGGGAGGCACACAGGACTAGAAGGATCCTAAGAGGTAGGTACTGTTATCTCATCCATTGTTCAGAAGATGAAACTGAGTTTAGGCAACTTGCTCAAGGTTACACAACTAGCATGTGGTTAGAACCAAGATTTGAAGCCTAGAAGTTGAGCCTCTTCATGAATTTCCGTCTAGGCTCACACTGTCGAGATGGATGTACCCCATTGCTTTTCTCTACCCTGAAGCTTCTTCCTTCGCTCTTGTTTTGATCTGAGCCACAATGGTAATGGGCAGGTGAGGGACAGTGTGTGCTCAAGAGAGCATTCCTCCTGGGCCTGCTTCCCTTGAATTCTCAAGCCTTCACACAATGCATCAGTGTTTTAAATTTTATTTCGTAAACAAGCATTAAGTACCTCTTGGTATAAATCACTATATAAGGTGTGCTAGGGGAATATAAATATGAGTAACATACATCCCTGACTTCAAATGTAAACCAATAGTAGCAGACAGCACAGGCAGAGACAATGAAAGGGGTTGACCGAGTACAGAGCCAGCTCAAATGAAGGTTGTAAATTGAACTTAGTGAAATGCAGAAGAACCACTTTTCCCTTCCATCCCAACTGGATTCAATGTCCTGTCCACATCAGGGCAGGAGAAGAGCTTTGTTAATGACACAGCAGGGCTGATACTCTGCTCTGAATATTCAACCTAATGTCAAGAAGGGTCCAGATGAATATTAACAGGAAAATTAGAGAAATTAGTAAACTTAGTAATGAAGGAACTTTTAAAAAATCTACCTGTTTAATGCCTAGAAGGGATCTTTGGGTGGGTCCACAGAATGTTGAACTAGCAAATTTTTAAACAAATTGTTTTTTTTTTTAATGTAAGTTGCTTTTTTAGCATCTTTGGAGTTTATGAGAATCTATATTATTTGGAACACGAATGTATTTTTGAAGACGGATCCTTTGCATAGGTTATAGGGGTAAAGCAGAGACTACGGTATAGGAGGAAAGCTTAGGTCATAGTGGGTAAGACTGTTGCACATGCATGAGACTCATTTGCAAAACCAGGCTCTAAATTTTAGTAAAGGAAGTAGGTATGGGGTACAGTGGTTCTGAAATGCAAAATTTTGTTAATTTTTAAAATACACAAACATTAACTTGCAAACTAGTGAGTTTGCTTGTGATTTACGTCTTAACAATGATCCATATGAGGCAAAATCACAGATTTGTTTAAAAAAAAAATCTCAAGAATTGTTAATGGCAGGGATATGGTATTAGAAGGTTCCAGTGCCATTTGTTTAAAGTGACCCTGACAAAACTGAATCCTGGTCTGGGACTCCATCATCAAAAGTCCTTAGGTACAGTCTAAGCCCTGCCCCTAATTAGTCATGTGTCATAGAGATGGCACTTGCACCCTCCCAGTACATATTTCTTTTAGCTAAAAAATGAGGATAATAGATTATACAATCATTTCCAGCCATAATTATCTGGGAGCCTCTGTATCACTAACTATGATGCACATATCCCAGGTTAGAACTTTCCAGGGGAAGCCAGGATTTGGAGTCTAGGCAGATCTGGAAGGTCAGCTGGTCAGAACATAGGAACACTCATAGGAAATTTTTGTTCATGGGTAGATACACAGGAAAGCATTCCAAGACTGGAAGATCAATCAAAAGGCAGAGGACAAGTTGAAAATACTTTAAGACGAGGTAAATGCAGAATCCAGGCTCCACCAGAAGAAAAGGTCCATTAGGGCAAAGATTTGGGGATATCTTTGTTATTTGGGTTGGTTTGTTTGCTTGCTTTCCCCCCGCCCCTTGCTGTATCTTAGAAGAGTCTGTAGCATATAGAGGTGCTCAGCAAACATTTGTCAAATGAATAAATGAATCAAGGTTGTTAGTCAAGCTGGACCACTGGAGACCTAAGTAGTCAGTTCCACCAGGGTTAGGGGCTAAGCCCTGGCGAATGGAGACAGAAGGGCTGGGTCAGAGTAAGACTAACTAGATACAGCTCGAGGAACTCCTGAGTGGTATTTTAAGCTTCTGGGAGATCAATCCTAGAGAGCAGTACTATGTACCAGTCACTTCACTTTATAGTCATGCCTGCCAGAGAGGGCGATTGCCTGAGGAGCCAGGGAGAGCCTGACACCATGAGGACAGCTTCTGACCTGGACTGGGAAGGCAGCATGGGAACAGGCACAGACTATGGGCTCTAGAAGAAGCAGAGGGCCTTGGCTGAGCTTGGCTGAATGGATAGTGCAAGTGTTAGGGGCAGCACTAGTATCTCTTAGATGACTTTATTCTAAGGTTTTGCCTGAGATAATATGGCATTTCTCTAGAAGACTAGGGATTGAACCTACTTAATAACCCATCTTTATGTATTAAATTGGGGTATATGTATTCTGTATGTATTTTACATGGGGTATACTATTTGCTAAATTGGATAAGAAAGAACAATTTTAAGGCTTACTTTTCAACACCATTACACTTGACCAACATTCCTGATCCTTTTTATGAGAACCCCATTTCATTATGGTCCTCTTTATTATGTAAAACACACAATTGAGTTAAACATTATTTTTTCACCTGCTGTCTTCCTTAACTTGGTTGGGGTACAGTCAGCCTCTCCCTGTATCCACTTAGCCCATTCAGCAAGTGCCTTGGGATTATTTTAGATTCTGCTTTTAGGGGCAATTAGTAGCTAAATCTCAAAGCAAAATCAGAATATCCTAAGGAATCAGATCATGTTGACCACACTGGTCCTAGATCCATTCAATCATTCACTTTCCCCTTTCCTACACCTCTTTTTCTAAAAGCTACTAAGGAAATTCATCCCAACAGAAGTCATTTTTTTCTCTAGACCTTTTACACTGCCATTGAGACTTCCACATACATGTAATAATTAGTAAAGTTTGAAAACAGTTTTAAATTCGTAAGTTTTCTTTATTATTTATTTAGGTCTGGGACAGGACCCAGCAATCTGTGTTTTAAACTAGCACTTCAGGAGATTCTGATTCATCAACGTTTATTGACTGCCTATTGTGTACACTGTCCAGGAGGACAAAACAGCCAAAGACCCTCATCTTTAATAAATTCACATTTTAGTGGAGGAATTCTGAAGAACGTGTTCTTAAGAAACACTGCCCTAAATTGGTGAGGCCCACCCTCCCTGCAGCAACCATCTACCAGGTCCTGCCCATCCTGCCTCTGCCCTCTCCTCCTCAGCTACTCATAGACATTTCTGCAGCTCCACTTCTAGCACTCTTTCCCTGAATCAGCTTCCAGTGATCTCTGGGCACCAGAGTAATCTTTGTCATCCCAAGTCTGAACATGCCCCTCCTCCTCTGTTTTTTTTTTTTAATTATTGCATTTTTGGTTTTGGGGTACATGTGAAGAACATGCAAGATTGTTGCATAGGTACACAGATGGCAGTGTGATTTGCTGCCTTCCTGCCCATCACCTATATCTGGCATTTCTCCCCATGCTATCTCTCCCCAACTCCCCACCCCCCACTGTCCCTCCCCTATTTCCCCCCAACAGACCCCAG